GGCATCCTGATCCCTTGCGCGCTCCAGCAGGAACGGCAGCGTGTTTGGCAGGATGGGCAAGTTGACCAAGAGCGACCTTCTGACATCGGCGCTCGGATCGTTCTGTAGCACCTCCAAGAGCTTGTCCAACAACCCGCTCGTTGCTTCGTCCTCGCTCCCATCCGAATTTGGCTCCGCTTCCGCTTGGTTTCCAGCCAATCTTCCCAATCCTAACACAGCTTGCGCGCGCACCATAGCCTCCTTGTCGCGGATCCTCTTAAGTAACCCCGACCTCAACTTCTGGAACAAGTCATCATCAATCGCATCCAGCGAGTTGATAATGTGCGAAATAAGCTGCGTAGACCGGTACCGCACAAACTTGTCCTTGGCCTGCAGCAACGGCAGGATGGTCTCCATTAGATGTGTAGTAAGGCGCGTGCCGGGAGTCTCAGGCATGGTGCTAGCATCAGGGTCCGCCTCGCCCATCACTTCGTTGTCCTTGTCGATCGAGTGCCGCAGGAACAAACCGATAAATCGGATCGTCTTCTCTCCTACAGATTCGCTCTTCTTGACGGGCATGACGCGCAACACGCATCGCATAAATTCGTTGTTGAAGTCATCCTCGTCAAAGTCTTCGGCGGCGGCGGCCTTCTTGGTGCTTGTCGGCTCGTAGCAGCAAGCCTCCTGGAGCTTGCGCAGCGTGACGGCTAGTTTTCTGTGGGAGGCGGTGGTTCGCTGGGCATCGCGGAATACGGCGGCGACTTGTTTGCGCAGGCTCGAGTCGGGAGCCTCGGTGGGGATGTCGATGTTTGTGTTGGATGAGGCGCGCGACGCCGGTGTAGATCGTGATGTTGTGGCTCCCCCCGCTGCTGTTGAGGACCTCGTTGACCTTGTCGATCGAGCGGGCATTTTGGGCGAATTTTTTTTTTTTTTGGTGCTTTCCGATTGCGCTTCTATGTCGCAATATCGGGAGTAATCTTTTGAGTTTTTTTTTCTTCGTTACAATATTTTGGATCGCATCGAGGTCGTCTTCGGGTGCCGGGTCGTGTCGCAAAAGTTGTCAATTGCCCACAAGGAAGGAAGAGAGGGCCCGATTGTTGTTTGTTTACCCAGAGATTGCCTAATTGGGTTTAGCTTGGACGGGTTTGGAGGGGTCTCTTCTTGCAGTCTGGCTGCCCGGTATTTACGTTGTAAACTTCTTACACGGCCGACAAAACAAAATTAACCCCCTTTAACCCGTTTCTATTTATTCTTGACTCCTTTGTACAGGTTCCCAGTTCTTCAAATGCATTCTTGTCCCTAGGTAGTATACCGTCTCGAACGTTTGTTGGTCAGTAACCTTTCTTCGAACTTGCCTTGCTGAAAATAAATACGGCGTTTCAGAACTAGGTAAGCAGGAATTTATTTTTTGGAGATATCTAGGCTTTCCTAAATCTTGCATTATCATGTCCCCTTTGAATAAATTAGGCGTGCTTGGAAGTAAGTCAGCCTTGCTTTAAACAGAGAAGCCTTCATAAGAACAAATACGCCTCCATAAAAATGAGCATGTCTTTTAGCAAATAAACAGGCCTTCCTTGGGAAAACAAGGTCTTCTCAAAATCTGATATGCCCCACTAATGTTGATGTGCCACACAATTGACGCGATAAGCTTCTTATCGTAGGCTATGGTCTGGTTTTTTTATTTTTTTTATCAATTGACCAGGGGAGCTTCATGCCATAACGACGACGGCAAAAACCCACGAAACAGCGAAATGGGAGACCCGACCGACAATAAGAAGCGCCAACGCGATGCCGATGAGGCTCCGGCAGTCGCATCGAAAAAGGCCCGAGTCGACTCAAACAGGTCACTTTTCGTACGATCGCTTCCACCAAACGCTACCAGCGAATCCCTTACCGATTTCTTCTCTCAACACTACCCAGTCAAGCACGCAACCGTCGTGCTCGACCCAAAGACCAAGGAGTCCAGAGGTTACGGTTTCGTCTCGTTCGCTGACCCCGAAGATGCGATTGAAGCCAAGGAGAAGCTCAACAACCACGACTTCGGCGGTCGCAAGCTGAGGCTCGACATTGCCCAGCCCCGTCTCCGCGATGCCTCCAAGGCGACCCCCGCGGTCGCATCAAAGGTTGTCGAGGAGAAGAGGAAGCGAGAGGAGGAGATGACCGAGGCCCGCAAAGCTCCCAAGCTCATTATCCGTAACCTGCCGTGGAGCATCAAGCACGCCGACCAGCTGACGAAGCTCTTCCAGAGCTTTGGCAAAGTCAAGTTCGCTGATTTGCCCGGCCAAAAAGGAAAGATGGCTGGTTTCGGTTTCGTCACACTGCGTGGCCGCAAGAACGCCGAGACGGCTATGGAGGCTTTGAACGGCAAGGAGATTGATGGACGAACAATTGCGGTGGATTGGGCGGTCGACAAGGAGACTTGGAAACAGCAAACTGAAGGAGAAGAGGACAAGGCGGATGAGGAAGACAAGAAGAGCGCCAAACCCAAGAAGGAGAAGAAGCCTGCAAAGGAGGAAGAGGAGGAGGACGATCCAAACATGACTCAGGCGGACCGCGATTTGGCCAACTTTTTCAAGAATTACGGCGAAAATCTCGAAGATGAGGAGGACGATGACGAAGACAAGAACGAAGAAGATGAAGATGAGGACGAGGATGAGGATGAGGATGAGGATATGGAGGACGTTGACGAGGAGAAGGATGGCCAAGACAATGAGTTCGAAACTGAGCCTTCAGAGGTATCCGACAACGAAGAGGACGAGGCAGCCAAGAAGAAGCTCTCTGACGACAATGCGACAACCCTGTTCATTCGCAACCTTCCATACACCACGACCGACGAGCAATTAAAAGAGAAATTTGACATCTTCGGAGCAGTGAGATACGCCAGAGTGGTCAAGGAGCGCGGCACGGACCGGCCGGCCGGCACGGGTTTCGTCTGCTTCTTCAACTCCGAGGAAGCAAAAGCCTGCCTGAAAGGTGCTCCCCGCCACCAGCCTGCACCTACCCTCGCCAAGCACTCAGTCTTGCAAAACGACACGCTCGATCCCGAAGGCAAGTACACCATGGATGGCCGTGTGTTGCAGGTCGCACAAGCAGTCAACAAGGACGAAGCTAGCCGTCTTGCCGACGTCAGCACCAACAAGAAGAACAAGGACAAGAGAAGGCTCTTCCTCCTCGCTGAGGGCTCTATCCCCGCCAGCTCTCCCCTTTTCGCCAAGCTTTCTGCTCAAGAAGTCAAGCTCCGTGAGCAGAGCGCAAAGCAGCGCAAGAAGCTGATCGAGTCTAACCCGGCGCTGCATCTCAGCTTGACTCGTCTTGCTGTGCGCAATATCCCCGGTCATATGGACTCCAAGGCGCTCAAGGCTTTGGCGCGTGAAGCTGTAGTAGGCTTCGCCACAGACGTCAAGGAGGGCAAGCGTGCCCCTATCTCGAAGGAGGAGAACATGCGCGGTGGTGAGCAGGACAAGGAAGCCGAACACCGCCGCAAGGAGAAAGGAAAGGGTGTGGTCAGCCAAGCCAAGATTGTTTTCGAGACAACTCACGGCCAGAAACTGGACGAGAAGAAGGCTGAAGGGGCTGGAAAGAGCAGAGGATACGGTTTCATTGAGTATTCATCTCACCGTTGGGCTCTGATGGGTCTAAGATGGCTCAACGGCCACGCTCTCAAAAACGACCAAGGCAAGACGCAGAGATTGGTCGTTGAGTTTGCTATTGAGAACGCGAATGTAGTCCAGAGACGACGACAGCACGAGGAGAAGATTAAGACCCTTGGCCCGAGGGAGCCTGGATCGAAGGCTAGGGATACGGAGGAGAGGCTTAAGAGGAAGAAGGGAAAGAAGGGGAAGAGGGCTGACGAGCCGGATTGGAAGACAGCTAAGAAGGCTAGGGGGGATTGGAACAAGAGTACCAAGGGCAAGAAGAAGGAGGGAGGAGCGGCGGATGATAAGTCGATGGGCAAGGGGAAGAAGGGTGGCGGTGAGGATGGGGCCTTGTTGGACAAAGCTGGGAGGAAGAATGCGGATAGCAAATTGGCCATGAAGACCAAGATTGTGCAGAGGAAGAGGGAAATGCGCAAGAAGAAGAGTGAGGTCAGGGCTGGGAAGAAATAAGGAAGGAGTGTTATGTAATTTTTGAGGGAGCTCGTTAAAGACTCCGCTGGTGTTTAGCGATTATTGCCATGCTTATTCAATTCCATATCCGTTGCATGTAACATACACCCCTTGCTCGTGATGAGTACGCCTTCCTGAGAACCAACAAACCTCACGTTTCGTGGTGTAATATTCTGAAAGTCATCCAACGGGGTCGACATTATTCGATTCAGAACCAAAACCGAAGAGCTTTCACAAAATTATCTTTTCTTGTGACGTTTCTTCGTCCCATTCAAGTTTCTATTTTTCTCCTCTTCTTTCCCACTCATTTGGAAAGTCTTGAATAAACATGCATCCAACACAACAAAAATTCATGGAAAATATCATTCATTCATCCTGTCTTTCTTTTTTTTGTTGAACATATATAATACGCTTGTGCCTACAGCATAAAGACGATCGTTTTTGTGTCACAATTTTTTCCCTCCCTTTTCCCTTTTCCCTTTTCCCCCCATCAAAAGCCTTCATTGCCTTTGCGATAACTATATACATACATATCTATATACATATATATATACATATATGGTATAGGTTTTTTTCACCCAGCCAGAAGACTGGCACGGTTTTCCTGTACACCAAGATAGCTTGCTGGACCGGCACGCCCTGTCTAGGGCACATCGGTAGTATGAATAAATAAAATAAATATATATATACATATATACCTTCCAGGTTGCAGTTATTTATATATATTTATTTTTATCTTGCATGCTCCTATTCCTTATTCTCACCCAATTATTTCTTTCCCCTTTCCAGCTTCCAAAAATACACAACATGCACACAATGAAAGCAGCACAAAGGGGATAGATAGTCACGACACCCAAAGTGAGATATGAATACCGCTTTTTTTGCCCCGTCTATTATATCACATAAACCAAAGATGGTTGTATAGTGTAGCGGTTATCACTCCGGATTCTGATGGATACACTTTGTTTCCAGAAAATTTCTTCCGGCAACCCCGGTTCGATTCCGGGTACGACCTATTATTTTGCATTTTTTTTTTCGTTACGGTAGCGATGTTATTTCTTTTTTCTCTCTAATATTTCAAAAAGATATAGTGAATCAATCGGGTGTGAAAGTAGAATGATGTGCTGCTTTGCTGTTTACCAGTCTTGTTTTTCTGCCTTGCGTTTCCGTTCTGGTTTCTTTATAAATGCTGACGCTTTCTAGTCCAGTTTATCGACCCCTTCCTTCCTCGCCATTAGGCTTTCTCTACAAGTGATCTTGGGCCAATTCCACCTTGTTATCCCCAAGATAGCGGAACACCCCTTGCACCACGTCCCCCGTTTCCAGTCTGGCCAGGTACACATCCATCTTAGCGTTTAGAGACTGGATCCTGCGACTTGAGAGAATTCATTCTTGTCCACGTTTTAACTCACTCTTCTCTTCCATTGTCCTCGGCGAGTCCTCGTTCCTCCCCCGCATTGCTCTTTCCCCCAGGGAAAAGAAACGATGAATGGCGCTCCGAAGGTCATTCAATCGAGTGGGGTGCCGACCACACGGCCGCTCTGATCTTTCCAGACAATCGAGGAGACCTGCGTGCCGATAAAATGCCCGTTCCGGTCATAAAGCAGATTCGTACAAGGCTCTTTTAGTACCAAACCGCCCCGGCCCGTCATGTCATTCGTAACCGTGCCCTTCCCAAGATTTATTCACTGCTCAACGGAAAGATGTTCAGGGCGTTTTGAAATTCGATATCACCCCATGGGCACTACTACCAACACTGTTGCTGTGGTGAAAAGGAGTGGCGGAGAATGCCATAAAAGGATTTATTTCGGGCAAGTCCCGGTCTCTCTCGTTCCCTGGCATCCTGACTGGATCTTTCGTGTTGTGGTGTTGTGGTTGGCGATTATTGCTTCTCTTTTTTTTCTTCTTTTTTTTCTTCTTTTTTTTCTTCTTTTTTTTCTTCTTTTTTTTCTTCTTTTTTTTCTTCTTCTTCTTTTTATCTCTATCCTGTTTTTATCTCAATAAAGTGCTGATGAGGTTGTGTTTTAGACCTTGTATAGTGGGATGATAGATAGATAGATAGGATGTTAATGATGAGCCTTTAAAATCGAAAAGAAAAAGTTGGCCAAAACAAGCATGTATGCACATGTACATACGGTATGGTACCACAGCGGCTGCTATCTATTATTGTTATTATTTTGTTGTTGTTGCCACAGTGTTTGTTTTGCTTCATTCTTTATAAAACTAGGTTACGGTATCTCCTAACTCAACAAAAAAAAAAGGGAGCAATTTTCCACCACAACCGAAACTCCCGTCCCCGAGGAGATTGAACAATAATACGAAGAGAGAGAAAGTTACACCACACCCCAGGCCTTATCGACGGGCAGACTCACTCCGTTGATGGTCCTCGCCTGGTCACTGACAAGAAACAGAATGGTTTTGGCCACCTCGAGGGCCGTGATTGTCGGAGTTGCCTCGGATGGCTGGGCTTGGAGGGCGTGGACTGGTCTGTTTTTTCAAGCGAGAGTGTCAAGATATCTTCTTCTTCTTCTTCTTCTTCCCATGACGAAAGGGGGTGAAGTAATAAACTTACTCAACCTGAGCGTACGCCTCCGGATCCAGCCAAAGAAGATCGTTGGTGTGTCCCGACGCGATCCTCTTGCCGATGCTCGAGTCGATGGCTCCCGGCAGGACGGCGTTGCATCTTATCCCTTCGTTCCTGAAGCGCCATGCTACGTTTTTGGTTGCTCCTAGCTTTTTTCTTTATTAAAAAAAAGAAAAAGGTGGAATGGTAGCTAGGAAAAGCTTACCAGGCCGTGCTTTGATGCAGTGTAAGCAATTCCGGCTACCGCGCCGCTCGTCGCCGCCGTGCTGGCCACGTTTACTATCACGCCGTCTTTGCGCTCCTTCATGCAGGGCAGGACGGAGCGCATCATCATCACGGGGACGGTGAGGTTCGTGGCGAGGACTTTGGACCAGATCTGGTCCGTGACTGCGTCGGCGGAGGAGAAGTTGTCCAGGATGCCTGCCACGTTTATGAGGACGTCTATTCTTCCTCTGTTGTATTGTATATATTTACACGCATTAGTTACTGCAGTAGGATGAATGTGAAAAAAAAAAAAAGGAAGATGCGGAGGAGGGTTATTGTACCCAAAACTCTGTCGCGCGATACGGACTCCATCCTCTGGTACGCCGGGCTGTGTGAGATCGCCGCGGTGGAAGTGAAAACGGCCGTGGTCTTCAACCCTAAGGAGGTTGTAGTCGAATTCGGAAATGTCGAGGCCGCAGACGGAGAACTGGTGGCTGAGGAGGAGTTGGGTTACTGCTAGGCCGATGCCTGATGCGCAGCCGGTTACTATGGCTACTTTTCCGTAACCTAGGGGGTCGATGTGGGTGGAGGGCGGGTGGTAAAGGGAGTCGGGGGTTGGGGTGTAGAGCATTTTTTTTCTTCTGTCTCTTCTTTTTATGTTGATGGTATTTGGGTGTAAGTGGATTAGTGTAAGTGAGCAACGTTGAGGGTATATAAACTTGACAACAACTTGGAGATTACGACGGCACATTAAACATGATCGGGAAGCTGTGGCATAAGTACTCAATCGAAAACATCAATTCCCTCTTATCAGTGAACACAGAATATCCCGAGCGATGTCGTCAACACCAATTCTCAGCTCAGTCTCGAAGGAAGTGGTGTGATATATCCACTCACTTCACTTCACTTCGCGGTCCACGATGGGTCGAGACTCATTTCAGGCACTGTGCATACAAAACGGGAGGAGAAAAACCTCATATCTCACAAGTTTTGGGGTGAGTGGGAATCTGAAAAGCCAAGAGATTACCAGAACAGGCTGCGTGGGGGAGAGGCACCAAAAAGTCAGACCACTCCTTCCCCCTCACACACCACTACTTCTTTTGGGTGCACACCTGACCGACGATACTGATATTTTTTATTGTGGGCCGGAATTCCTAGGCTCATACACGCCACATTCAAACATTCAGCATGATGGAAACGTCTTCAAGAGGAAATTGGAGAAGACGCGCGTGGCTGTGGCAGTGCTCGATGCTGAGTAAAAGTGCAGGTGCAGGCTGAGAACCTCACCAATCACCATCTCTCGGCATGCACTGCAGTGTTTGGCGCCTGGTCAATTCACCGTACGCGTCTGAGAATATTGCCTATTCAGCCTCGTCTTTGCGCAGACGTTGAAGCCATCTCGATGAATTCTTCCACCTCCAACTCACTCTTCACAGAGGTTCAAAGCTGATCAACTCCATATCTACCTCGATTTGAGCAATTCTCAAAGCGGAAATTATCTCAGCCATTTGATATCTCGAGATGCCCGGCGAGGAGCTCCCTGCGTTTTATAATGACGACTACATGTTGCAGCCAGATCAATGTAGTGGCGGCTCAAGTGACAATGGTAATAGAAGGGCGAAATCACCCCCAGACGATGATTTGGCCGGTCTCCTCCCTTCAAGGTGGGTTAAGCGTTGCAGAGAGAGTAGGTGCACCGACAGGCAGTTTCAACCGTCTCCTGCAAAAATGATAAAAGTAAATACCAGGCCGAGGGCGTGCAACAACTGCAAGTAAGTAGCAGATCAACACTGTGGTCCCGGTCTCAAAGGTTGACTCTTATTACAACACAGGCAACACAGAGTTAAATGTGACGAAAAGAGACCCAAATGTTCCAATTGTGTGCGATGGGGGAAACAATGCTCGGGATACGTTCCAAGGAACCCCAGAGAAGAACCCACCCTGCCAGTGCTGTCGAGTAAGCCCCAGGGGTTCTACAACATGTGCCCTATTTACTGACTTTGTGAAGCTTCCTATTCATCCTCTTCGCCGTTTTCGACGACTCTTGAAAATACCGGGGTCAAACTTCCTCCGTGTCCCAGTGGGTCCGGATGTCGAGCTCCGTCATGCGACCAGAGATTTTACCATCCGTATTCACCTACATGTCGAAATAGCAAGAATTGCTATGATGTTGACTGTACCAAGTGGCATCCAAAGCCTCCTTGGTGTTCCCGTGCACCATTCTGCGACTGGGCCACCAATGGATGTGACAAAGCTCATCCCTGGTCAATGGAAACCTCGAGATCTTCGAACACCATCAACTATAACGATTCACCGCCGCCCATGTCGATTGACCCCTTGTCCCCCTTTGTGCATGGACTTCCTGACATGTCCAACTAGCACTTGGATGACAGCTTGGATTGGTTGACAGGCTTTGAGAACCAAATGTCATTCAATAACGAGCCCCTGGCTTCGAGGGCTGGGGATGCAAAATCTCAACCACCATCTTCGCCAATGCCGAGTGGGCCAAGAGTGGGAGAACGAGAACTGGGGCAAGATGAGCCTATGGACCAAGAGACAGCGGGCCAGTTTGGTTCGCCTACACCCTTCACAGTCAATGTCCTTAACAGAGAGACAGGATGTTACATTTGCAGGTAGGCCATATCCTGCTGATAGTATTATTGTATATGTAGCTGACCCTGATACAAAGGATGTTGATGATCGAGTGTGACGGCCACAAGCCCGAATGTCAAAACTGTCTGCGGGACGGAACAGAGTGCTGCAGATATCCTCCTGACACGCCCGATTATGGGGGCATCGACTGGGACCTCGTAAGATTGACACGTGAGAGAAATTCAAGCCTGGGGCCCCGGCAAGATTTGGCCGACCTCCCTGTTGCTTCTGCTTCAGGTTCTGTCATGGAAGGGTTAAGCGACTTTCATGACAGCGAGGGCGAGCAGGACTCTGCTGTTCGGCCGGATCACAGCCGATCTAGGTCCCGCACTCGCAGTCTCAAGTTCAGTGAGGACCTCGATGAGACAGATCTGGACGGGGTCAAGTACCGAGAGTTTTTGAAGAAGATGAGAGAGCAAAAGCGGCGAATGGGGGTGGCATATGCTGGGATCTGGAAACGTACTATCGCCGAGTGCGCGGACGCGGGCGATACTGATGAGAAACCCCATTCTGCCGAGAACAATCTTCTCGAAGGTGAGGAGGTTTCTAGGGACCCCATTGATGGCCTGAAAACC